TTTGTGGTGTACTTCATGTATATGCACCTGCCAAAAATCAGACTAAGAGGCAGGGGAGGTAGCTCAGTAGAATAAGCACTCGCCTGGCCAAGTGCAGGGTCCTGAGTTCAATCCCAAGTATGGCAAAAGAAAAAAAAAAATCAGACTAACAATACTGTTTTGCTTTAAGTGAACTCTATAATTAAATAAATTCCATATTAAAGAATAAATAAATATGCATGCTATCCCTAATGTAAGTACATTTTATAATGTGAAAAGAGATGAAATTGGAAAATAGATTAAGTTGACTTGTGACAAAAGAATTGTTAACTAATGATTCTTACAAAGCTAGACAGGACAGCACATGTCTGAGGTCCACCTGAAGTCCCAGCTCCTTGGGAGGCTGAGCATAGGGGTTCAAGACTAGCTTTGGTGACATGGCAAGGCCCTGTCTCCAAAAATAATTCAAGATCTTTTGGTAGGTCTTTACTAAATGTTGCCCCTTCCATTCATGATATGATGGAGCTACTGTGACTAAAATTTAAATCACAGGTGATTAAATTTCATATATATTCTATGTGTTATAATTGTAATTTGAACACTATAATTTCTAACTGCATCACTATAATAATTGCATTGAGTATAATGAAGTTGCGGTATAGTTTTGCATAGGAGAGAAAACTTAGAATTCATTCTGGGTTGATTTTGGCAATGTATAGATTAAAAAACTTCTGTGAGTCTACAGAACAAATGGAGGGGCAGGGACTGCGGCTTCGGCTCCTTGCCTCTCGGGGTGCTTCTTCTCACCTGCTGTGCTGCTGCAACTGTGGGAGGGCTTCTCTGCCTTAAAGTTCTGTTTTGTTTTATACTCATGTCTGTCACCTCATAAGAAATGTGCGCTAATCTTTTTTTCTTTTTTAGCAAATTCAGGTAGAACATTCATTTTCATGGTAGATAATGCACCATCATCCCCATTTCACTTGTCAGACAGAGGGCAACTGACATGTTACTGTTTTTTCCTTCCTGAATGTTTACGTAGTTGTAGCCTCATATTTTCCATGAGTAAAGTTAGAAAAATTTAGGCTATAACCAGCCCAAAAATATGCCTGAGTTGTGGGAAAAAGGTCATGTCATGCAATAGTAAATGTTGGATCAATTCAACTCATTTCAATCCATATATTCTGGGTGCCTCTCAGTAACTCATCTTTCTGAGCTGTTCTTCATAAAACTTAGTGGTGCCTTATGCTTTTGTCTAGATGGATATTTACGTACCATACATTATTTCAGTTTCCTTCACTACTTTTCTTAGTTTTGCAGCTGAATATTCCAAACAATAGATTCATTGTTAAGAAAGCAATGTAACATTTATACTTTATTTTCCCTCACTAGTTCAGTGCCTAAACAGTTTCTATCTGCTTGCCAGTTCTTATAGCATGCCTGTACTACTCAGCTTTATTATCGCAGGGAGCACATATAGGACACACACACTTGCAGGGAGAGGTTTAATTTGCCTCATGGTGTCAGAAGTTTCATTGCATGGCCTGGTTGGCTCCGGGGCAGGAACGACATGGTGGAAGGGCATGACGAAAAAATATTGGCTTCATTCATGATAGTTACAAAGCAGAGTACAGGAGAAGAGCTGCAAGGACAGGAGCACCCTCTGGAGGCAGGTCCTCAGGGACCGGCCTTGCACAGGACCCCACTTCCTAGCAGCACACTAAGCTATGAGTGTGGTGAGTGATTTGCTTCAATCATTGGGAAAGCCAGTGTTAGTTCTCCAGGAGCAAACTTATGTGTGTCCCTTGGTGGAAATACCCCGGAAAAGCGGGCTGGCTGGGCTTTGTGGGTGCCATCGGAAAGCCTCCTAGCGCGCATTTCATTCTGGCCTTTCCCCACGGGTTAGGGCAACACTCTGGAGAGAGCCTGGGGACCTTCTCTTTATGCAGACTCTCCCCATGTCAGTGCCACTGTAACCTGCATCTGTACTTCCATTCCTCTAAAAAAGTAAGGAAACTAAGCCATCATGGAGTGGATACGGCACAGGAATACTGAAACATGTGACAGAGTGTGCTGTGCTTCTTAGTGCCCCTGATTTATTATCCTGATTATCATAAATCCTGATGGTCATTATCCTGATGATCCAGTAAACTCTGCAATGTGCAGAGGGTTTTTTTTTTTTTTTTTTTAAATTTCACTACAAGAAGCTTGTTTCTAAATATGCAACCTTTCCCTAAAACTCCATGACATGTTGTCAAACATCTAGCTTCTCTGCAAGCTTGCTGTACGAACTAGGTGAATCAAGGTGCTGAATGGTGACACAGGCCTCTGATCCCAGCACTCTTGGAGGCTAAGGCAGGAGGGCTGCAAATCTGAGCCCAGCTTGGGCAACTTAACAATTTAAATTGACCCTGTCTCAAAATAAAAAATAAAAATTTCTGGAGATGCAGCTGTGTATGAAGAGCCTGGGTTCAATCACTGGCTGATTTTTTTTTTTTTTGGTCTTTTTGAGATAGGGTTTTGCTATGCAGCTCAAGCTGGACTTGAATTCACTTTGTAGCCCAGGCTGGCCTTGAACTTGAAGTGATCCAATCCCCCTGCCTCAGCTTCCTGAGTGCTGGGACTACAGCTATGTATCACTATGCTGGCTTCACTTTGTTTTTTAGAAATCTCCAATATTGTACAAACCAAACCAAGCCTAGGGATAGCATCAATAAAATGCTCGGCACAGAGTATATAAGAAACCAGAGCAATTGTCTCCTTTCTCAACACCTCTGAGCCAGCTGAAACAACAGGGCCCACCCCATTTGACTAAGTCCTGGCAGGGCCCCTCCCTACACCTATCTTTCTTATGACAAACATCACCCAGGCCACTCTGGGAGGATGATAGGCCTAGCTCCTCCTGCTTTGGGCCCACTGTAGGAATTATATTTTAGGGAGCCTGGGAACTGGGAGGCACAGTTTTCATACCACACTTCCCTTGAGAACACAATTTAGTGGTTAAAATTAGGAACCAGGCATTAGGGAACCACATCTGCTGCTCCTGAACTGGTTACCCAGCATTTAAAACCCCCACTTCAGTCATAAAACACAGCCAAGTACACTTGCTGTCTGTGAACCCTACAGGGAGGGCTGATGGATTTGCAAATTGCTTTAGTGCTCTCAGATGAAAGGTGCTGTAAGCTTAAATCACCAACGTGAGAAAACACGCCATGGCTTTCCATAACCTCCCTGTAACCTAGTTTCTCTCCTAAGCAGAAGCACCCTCAAGATCACAGGAGGAGCTACTTCTCCGAGCAGAGATCTTGAGACGCCTGTGAGTGATGCTGCTATCCATGCATAGTCAATATTTTCATCCATAAATAACAAGTATTAAGCGCCCATGGGCCGCTCTGTGAAAAAGCAAATGACCATATATTTCCTGGGTCCAGTAGGAAAGATTAATTTAATCTTTAAAGTAGATTTAAGAGAATATTTATTTGAAATCCTTTACATTTAAACCCTCAGAATAGAGAACCTATAGGCCTGATAATCATTTCCAATGAGTTTTCAAAATAGTATCTTTAATTTTTATGAATTAGTTTAGGTGATTCTGGATGAAAAAAACCCCAAACACCGGAAACTACTTTTGCACTGCACTCTCTCCATCTACATTCTTACTTCCTGTCAAGAAAACACACTCTGAGAACACTTGGCCGGCCAGCACTGGACGATGAGGGCCGAGAGGCTGTCATGCAGATCTTGCAGCTCTTTCTCATTGAGATGGGCTTGATGTTTTCACTATCTCTTGAAAGTAGTCCCCAACTTTCGAGAGACCTATTAACCAAAAAGCATCATCTTGCCCTTGGTAACTTACACATTGAAGCTAGGTCTAGGAACCGGGATGATTTCCCTTCCTAGAAGATGGAGATGAGAGATACTGCAGACCTAAAAGTGATGACGTAAGCTAAAACAACTCTCAGAGCTCTATTAATTATGTATGAATAATAATTGATTGTAAACAAATCAATAAGATGCACATCGTTGGTTTAGTCCCTTAGTTATTCATTCAAGTAGTAATAAGTAACTTTGATCATCTACTGTGCTGCAGAGCCTGAGATGGTGCTAAACAGCTTGAAAACAGAACGATTTCTTATTTGAAACAGTCAGCAGGAATTTACCAGCATCTAAGTAATGGCTCATGTCAAGCACTGGTAAAGAGGCAAATGGAATCAAAACTGCTTATTTTGGGGTTATTCCAGAAAAGTCCCAACTGTTGGGGGCCCTGGTGGGCTCACTGAGAATCCTGACTTTTTTAAGGGATCAGTCACTGGTACATTTTTCATTATAAAAAGTAATTGCTGTGGCTGGAATAAAGCTTGCTTCCTCTGAAACTCAGGTTGAAATCATCATTGTGGCGGGGGTGGGAAGTGGGACTGTGAGGGCTGATCCATCTTTAGAAGGGGATCTCCCCTTCCTCAGAGGAATAGGTTAGGCACCTCAAGAGCAGGTGAGCCGGTCTTTGTGCTTTTTCTTGCCTGCAGAGACTTGCTCTTCCACCATTTGCCAGACTCAGACCCAGTTCAACGCCCTTGTGAGGAGCTCCTTCCACACTCTTGGGCTTCCTCCCTTACAGATTGTGAGCTACATAAGCCTCTTTTCTTTATAGATTATCTAGACTCAGGAATTCTGTTATAGTGACAGATCAGGAATACAAAAAAGATGAAGATTCTGACAGAGAAACTAGACCAATTTGGTTTTCAGGCCTAGTAGGGCTTCCCATATATTACACTGCACAATGTATTTCCCTCTGCCTATGACATATACCAAACGTCTCAGGCTAGAAATATGGTGTTCTACCTGTTCTGTAGCCAGTGTTGTTAAGATAGACGGCAAAGGTCCGGGGTTCGTGCATTGCTTGCCATGAGGGCGAAGAGCAGTTCTCGTTGTTGGTGTAGACATTGTGGTTGTGCACATACTTTCCAGTAAGCATAGATGACCGGGATGGGCAGCACATAGGTGTGGTCACAAAGGCGTTGGTGAAGGTGGCCCCTCCATGCTCCATAATCTTTCTTGTTTTGTTCATGACTTGCAGGGACCCTGAAAGGCACAATTCCAGCGTTGTTCAGCAACGAGTACTGTGCGGATGCCCATTTATGTCCTCTCATTCAATGTCCCTCTTTGCCTGATTTATTAATTTCCCTCCCTTACCTTGAAGGTACTAACTCCGTAAGCTCTCATTTCCAGAGCAAAATGGATCCTACCCGCTCCAGTATTTTGTGGCATAATGAACACATTTCAGCTTCTCCTGTCTTTAGTCACAAAGAATAAAAAAGAAGAAGACTAATCTGATAATTAAAGCTAGAATTTTAGATGTGGAGCGCATTCAAAGGCCAAGAGCCCTTTGAAGATTACAGAGAACAATAGCCCATTACGCAGAGTATCAGAGCCCTCCCGCCCACCACACTGGAGAACACCAGCGACACCACAGGGATTCGTAGATGCTACATTTTAATCATAGAAAGGAGGGAGCAAACCCTCATTAGATAAAATTTCCTTCTATAAAGGTTCCTGTATTTAATTTATTTTTTAAAAGATCCTATAGCAAGCAAACCAAACACGTACCAATTTTTCTATCAGGCCAGGACCACCAGGTTATATTTTGAGCGATTTATATTTGAAATTTTGAAAGGTAGATGGTTTGCTTGAGATTGACTTACGGTTCTATTGCAGTCAAGGTATCTCATGGTTGTAAAATGTTCTGTTTTAGCTACGAGAATGAAAGAGTAACACAAGATTGCTAAGGAAGGAAAAAAGTCTATTTTGATTACTCTCTCTAGCCAAACACTGCAGCTGAAACACATCCAAACCCTGCAGAAAAACACAAGCCAGAATTCAATAGTCTTTTCAGGACTTGTCAAGAAATGCACTGCAGAGCGCTCCAGCCAAGCCCATTGCATTTGAATCCCGGAGCCTCAGATTTCCAACAGGTCTCACTCCTTCCAAAGAAGGGGAGAGAGTCTATGTTTTCCAGCAAGGAAGGAAATCATAATGCAAACCAGGCAGGCATTCAGAGCAGAAGAGCGTGCAACAATCCAAGAAGCCACACTTGAGCCGGTTTCTTCATATATTAACTTTTTCCATTCACACGATGCCTACGAAACCAGGAGGAAGGTTTTTAAGTGGGTCTCTCGAGAGCTCTCTAAACATGTATGCCTAACGGTTCTTTTTCTCTCCTCTCCCTTCTGGTTGTCTTCCAGGAACCAAGCAACTTTTTGTGATCAGTGAACAACACATAGGGAGCAGCCACTTCACATGGCTCATACTCTCAGCACTGTGGGTTCATCCCTAACTTGTAGCATTAGCAAAAGAAAAGGAAAATCCTTTTTCTGGTCTTTCGTTGTGAACTTCCTAGACAACAGCCTACATACAGAACTGCTTGGGAGTGTTTGTAAAGCAACCTATCCATGAGAACTGTGCACACAGCAGATGCAGTATATAGAAGGAGAGAGGAGACTTGGAGGCGCACAGAGTTCTGAAATGGGAAGTGAAGGCAAATGAAAGACGGTGGGAGGAAAATGTCCAAGGAGGTGGAGTGTATTATTGAGGACAAGGGAGGATGGCATGGCTGATATGGAAGTGGGAAAAATCAAGCAGAGTCACAAAACTAGTACCTTAATCTGGCATGAAAAAAAAAGTGGGGCCAGGAAGTTAGCTCAGTAGAATAAGTGTTTGCCTGGCAAGCTCAAGGGCCTGAGTTCAATCCCTGGTTCTGCAAAAAAAAAAAAAAAAAAAAAAAAGAATCTGCTGGGTGAGATGTAGAAGGTAGAGTAAGCATATAGCATAGATACAGGGCCAAGATATTTGGTTTTAATGAAAGAGACAAGATGTAGGGTGGTTTCCTTCCTAATGGAATGAGCAACTAAAGACAAGCCATTGAGTGGCTCCAAGCAGTAAAGGCGAATGCGCCGAGGTGGGCATGGGCTGGCACACCCAGGGTACACCCGCGAACCTGCTGAAGCCATCCAGCCTTGGAGTGAGAGGAATTTGGACCACACTGTGACCCTGTCATAGCATCTAAGAAGCAGGCCCAAGCGATGCTGTCATTCCTCAGAGGGCTGTGACTTGACTAACACCTCAAAGCTTTCAGCACAGGGAGAAGGCTAGAGAAGGAATTGTTTTGCTGGTGGCAAAGAAGTAACTAAAAAAGAATATGTCCAGCAGATCAAAGAAGTCCACGTCAGAAGTGTTGAAGTTTTTATTCATGTTGATCATACAGGGGAAGCACCCTGGACACAGATCAATGTGGACAATGTGGACATTTGCTCTCAATGTCACTGAGCCCCTCTCTCCTTGTGCCAGGTCTGTAGTGTCTTGAATTTGGGGAAAGCAGCAAGCACCACTGATGGATTTTCACTGTGTAATAGTCTACTTAAAAGAATGAGCTCTCTGAGCTTCCTTTATGGGGCTTGGCTGAGTTCAAATAAAAAAGGAAGGCAGCTGGAGGCCATCATCCCAGGGCTGAAGCCCATCCTGGCAACCTCAGGCCCATAGTCAATGGGGCTGCAAATGTGGGGTGGAGGTGGAAAGCACAGTGGAAGTCAAAAAGGTGATAGAAACACAGGGGCTAACACTGAGCCAATCCGTGCTGCTGGAGCTGCCTCATGCCGGCCTCTCCTCTCATCCTGGGTGTCATACCTTTTCTAATTAACTGAATTAATGGTGCAAAGGTCCTAAACAATTTCTTTTCCAAAGTTCCTGATCCAGCCAGTCCACATGCCAGTGCACTGAGGATGAGGACACGACATGCCCATGAGCAGCAGTAATGGTGCAGCTGTACCGCTGTAGGCGAGGACTTAGTTTTTCAGCAGACAGAAGATTCTAAGGCAATGTTTGTTCACCTGTAAAACGCACCCAAAGAGCACACTAAGTCATCAAAGTTTAGGTTCACCTTGAGATGCTGCGCTAGTAAATCTGGGAGAAGACCTGAGTATTTCCACATTTCACAAGTGTCCAGGTGACCCGGATGTTGCCTGCTGATGAGCCACACTTGGAGAGATGTTTGAGGTTGGGCCCAGTATCAGGGAAGCATAAAGCTAGGGGAGACTGATGAACACCCTGTTTGGAGACTCTAAGTGGCTCAGACCATGTTCAAGGCTGTAAGATACACAGCAGTCCACACCTAGTGTGTGCCAGGTTTTCTTCCGATGTGTTCTGCCTGTGGCAACTCATTTAATTCCAACAGTAAATCTGTGTGGTGGGTCTGTGTATGATGATTCCTGTACTTTAGATGATGAAGCTGAGGTGCACTGGGAAAGTCTCATGAGTAGAGTCCAGGAGCAAACGCAAGCAGCAACAACCCCGAGGCTTGCTCTGAAGCTCTGTATAGGCTTAGTACCGGCTGTGACATTGATGCTTACAAGACAGCAAAACTGAAATAAGTCTGCTTGCTGTCAGGATTGGCCTCACTTTCTGCAGTCTCATCTTATGTTTCATCTGGCCTCTTAGGGGAGGTGTCGACAGACACGAACGCCTGTCCAGGCCTGCAAGGATCTCAGTGCCTCAGGCCCAGGGGAGGCCTCCCTGTCTTCAGCAGCTGACCATCATGCTGGCGTTAATCAGGGCCTCTCATCTTGGTGGATTCTAGGGGGAGCCTGACAATGGCGCACAGGAACCCGAACCTCTTCACGCTGCTGAGCCAGAGTGCTCCTAAGGAAAGTGCCTTTGTATCTTTTGTGATGTGCACTGATTATTGTCGATAACAGTGCTTTGCACTAGGTCTACTGCCCCCATGACGGCACCACTGGACTTTCACTGGCCAGCTGTACCCGAAAGCTATTCTGCGATAGAACTCTTAATCAGGCAGTCACAGCTGTCAGAAACAGTGGAAGGGACAGTGTTCCAGCCTATCAGGGGGAAGCTCAGTTTTGTTTTGAACTGCAGCTCTTTACTTTTCCAAGTTTCAGATTCTGGGTACCTAAAATGCAAAAAAGTGCTGGCTCTTTATTGTTAGAGCTGTTCATTGGTGGGACCATAGGATGTGGTGAAACACTCACGCCAAGATCCACACTCACATCAAGGACAAGACTGAGAAAAGAGCCCTGAACTTGAACCTTGGGGGAAATATCCAGATTTTACCACAAGTTAGCTTGTGTAGGTCACTTCATTTGTTTTGGTTGCACTTTTCATCCAGCAAATGGGGCTAATGCCAGCTCTCCTACATCATTCCCAAGGTTGCTGAAAAGCACAGGCATAGTTCTGTTAAGGGGGCTCCTTTCTTATGACTGGCTGGGAATGTGGCTGTACATTCCGCCCTCTGTATTGAGGGGTTCCCCATTGTACTTTCTGTACCAGTTACAGATAGAAAATATTTTTTAAAAGCTTGTGTCTGTACTGAGCATGCACAGACTGTTTCTCTTATCATTATACCCTAAACAATCTGGTATAATAACTATTTACATAGCATTTACAGTGTTGGGTATTACAAGTAATCTAGAGGTGGCTTCAAGTGTATGGAAAAAATGGGTGTGGGGTGTATACAAAGGCCATAGAACTTTATAGAAGGGACTTAAGGATTGTGTTTGGTAACCTCTGGGATCCTAGAACCAATAATCTGCTGCAGATACCAAGGGATGCTACATTTTGCTCTGGGACCACCTCAACTCCACCACACCCTTCTGCCTTTCTCATCTACTTTGAAATCCACAGGTGAATTCCGAAAGCTGGGTGAAGAGGAGCTAGGGGATTGTGCTCTTTCTGTTGTATGACGCTGATGTTGGCTCACAACCATTCTTCCCCCTCTTCCCACTCTCTCTGAACTCCTTAGCACAATCCCAACTTCAAGAATGTTTTCAATTGTTCTGTGAGAGGGCTACCAGGGATGCTAGGATGCTGCCGAGGGTAGGCCTGTGTAGCTGGCATGTGGACGCCGCTCACTGAGCTGGCCTGGTGACAGGGAAGGTCCAGGCCACAGCTGAGCCCCAGGACTGCCAAGAAATGCTGTCTGAGAGCCAGAGTTCCAGGTGGGGACTGGGGACATCTGCCACTGCTCCTGTAGGGCGGGGGATGCTGTGACAGCCTTCAGCTGTGCACCCGTATGC